TTACCGAAGCTAAAAAACTACTTTTTTTACTTCCCAAACTTTCAAACCAAAAGCACCTTCTTCTTACTACAAATTCCTTCCTAGGATGAAGAAAATTATCTTAATGCTCATCTTAAGTACCATAAATTTTCAGATTTGTCATCAAGCAAAAGTTTCCTTACAGGAAAAATTTTCTACGACTAATTATGCAAGGTTTATCATTTTCAATCAAGTTACTCGAGTTAATTTTATCCATGATCATTGAACTTTTGTGTTTGTTACCCAAAAGTCACATTCCTTTTTTTTGTTACATAAAAATCATTCAACTTTGTGTTCATTACACAAAAATCACTTTTCTTTCTTTTGTTACACAAAAATCATTTTACTTTGCTCTAGTTATCACAAAAGTCACATTTGTACTTGAAAAGTCTATTATGCCCTTGGTATTATATAAACCTTCATATTTATGTAATACCTTCTATATTATATACTATATAATATATTTTTAACTATGTATTTTATTTATAAATTAAAATAACTTAATGTTGTTTTATTTATTATTTTATAATATATTCATATATTTAATTTTTTCTTAACGTTAATTTTCAAAATATATTAGTAGCGTTATTAAATTTGTCAGTAACTTTAATATATATTAGTAGAGAAATAAATCGGCAAGTATATTTTCGTGAGAAAATTCGCAGGTAAACAAACAAGAAAATGAGGAACAAATCATATGTTAATCTGAAGGAAAATCCCTAGATACTACATGCGATTTTAGCTGGGGATATTTTCTTGGGGATTTGCCTGGGCAATTGGTTATTTGGAAAATTACACTACTAGAAATTCGAGAAAAACCGTCCAAAAAAATCGACCAAAGTTGGTCGGTAATGGCCAATAACCGTCCAAAAGGTATTTTGAAGGTCGGAAGGGCATACCGACCAAAGTTGGTCGAAAATTACCGACCAACTTTGGTCGGTCAATTAAATTCAAAAAAAAAAAGAATTGCTGAAAAAATTTAGTTTTTTAACGCTACTAATATATCTTGAAAATTAAAGTTAAGAAAAAATTAAATAGACGAATATATTAAAATAATAATAAATAAAATAATATTAAGTTATTTTATTTGTAAGTAAAATAAATAGTTAAAAATATATTATATAGTATATAATATAGAAGGTATTATATAAATATGAAGGTTTATATAATATCAAGGGCATAATAGACTTTTCAAGTAAAAATGTGACTTTTGTGATAACTAGAGCAAAGTAAAATGATTTTTGTGTAACAAAAGAAAGAAAAGTGACTTTTATGTAATGAACACAAAGTTGAATGATTTCTACGTAACTAAACAAAGAAAAGTGACTTTTAGGTAACAAACACAAAAGTTCAATGACCATGGATAAAATTATCTCGTGCAATAAACTCCCGTTATATGCGGGTCCGAGGAAGGTCCATAAGAGTCTATTGTATGCGGTCTTGCCCTACATTTCTGCAAGAAGCTATTTTCACGGCTTGAACACGTGATCAGGCCTGATCACATGACAGCAACTTTACCAATTACGCCAAAGCTCTCCTCTAAAAGTCACAACTTCATTCCGGAAATTAAAACACTAAAAATTTCACCTAAATCTTGGAAAGTTCTAGCCTTAGGTAGACCAAATCTTCTATAACCATAAATTATGCATTCACCAAGCTAAAGCTGAGTGCATCCAACTAGCTAATCCAAGCTAATGTTTTCACCAAACTAAGATAAACTATAACATAATAATGTAGAAGCAGTAATTCAGCACAGATCAGCAAGTAGTGTCCATGCAAATGGAAGAAAGTAAAAAGCTGAAGCAAAATTAATAAGAATAGCAGAGAAGAGAATGGTACCCGGCCCAGGAGGCAAATCAAGGACTGCATTTGGTTTCTTCCAACTGAGTCACCGACAATTGCCAAAGACTTGTTTCTGACCATATCCAAAAACTGAAACGGGTTAAAGATGTGGAGCTCACATCCATTAGGCTTCCACCTCCACTTCAAGTAATCAGTATCAGGTCTACCATACTTCATACAATTTTGGTGCTCATGGATTTCAGAACAGGTCACATTCGTGTAATATGGATCATCCGGATTCCAAACCCATTCCCCACTGAAAATATCGCATGTTTCTGGCTCTATAATTTTTATCTTATGCTCCTCAGCATGGTATGTGGGTGATATTTCAGATGGATTTTGGGTTAATAAATCTGCTGGGTACCAATTAAAGGGGTGGTAAAGAGGGATAAGACCCAGAACTGTAACAGCTAAAACTATTATAAGTATAAATATTCTTGGAGTTCTTTGAGCTGAAGTAGAGTATTTCACAAAGGGAAGCTCCATTTCTGCGCTCTGCTTCAATGGAAGGTTGAAAAGGAAATTAGAAATGCGAGAAAGGAGAAAAAAGGTAAGCTGTTAAAAATACATAGTGCATGTAGTTAAGGAGGACCAGTTTGTACATGTATGTTGACTCTCTGAATGACCTAATCACATTATAATCCTAATTTTTCTTGGTACTAAGTACAATTCCCCTTATTTAGTAACCATGGAGTGTGTTGTAATTCAACCTTCGTCAGAAAAAGTTCAAATTTATCTCTAAATCTTATTCCTTTCAGTCCACGGTAAGTTACCAATTTGTTTTTTTATTTTCGTCCAAAATAAGTGTCCATTTATATAATCAAGAAAAAGTTCAATTTGTTTTTCCAAAATTACCCTCATATACGTATCCGTAAACAGTCATTTACTCCTCACATTTGAGAAGAGAAGTAAGTGTTACTATAACTATGCTGCAACATTTAATTAAGGGTAGTTTAGTCACATTAACTATTTTTGTCTAGAATTTAGTATTTCCTTAATTGGTGTGCCCAAATCAAATTGGTCACTTATCGTGGGCCGGAAGGAGTAAAAAATTAGTCATTTGTACCTTCCGTAAAACATTTAAACATATTAATCCAAACGTTTAAAATACTATTCCCTTCGGTCGACAATAAGTGATCAATTTGCTTTTTTATTTTGGTCCAAAATAAGTGTCCATTTATATAGTAAAAAAGAATTCAATTTGTTTTTATAAAATTATTTTTATGTACATATTCCTAAAAAGTTTTTTTACTCCTCACATTAAATATTTAATTAAGGGTAGTTTAGTCATACTAAGTATTTTTATATAGAATTTAATATTTTCTTAATAGACATCTTAGAAGCAAATTGGTCATCTATTATGGACCTTAAGAGAAGAAGTATTAAAAAGTTCCCACAGCCTAGAACTACTCATTTGTAATAAATGACTGTTAGCTCTGTGTCACGCTTCTGTGGATTTGTGAAATTCTAGGCAGCGAATGGGTTGAAGGAGGAAAAGTGGTGGTACAATATGCAATGCTGGTGGAACTAGAAATAGGGGGAGGAAAATTGTCGGTGAGTTAGGTGTCTCATAAATACCACTAGTGTTCTAACACAATTATTTGGCATAACGTGTGGTGACTGATTAGTTGTCTCCGGTAGAAAGTAGAAAGTTTACGAATAAGGTGAACCAAACACTAAAATTTGATGGGCAAAATTCAGAATTGGTCAAAATTAATTGCATCCGCTAGCCAGGATATGATAAAAAATTGTATCCTCTATTTTCAGTAATATTCTTTTCCTGTAAGCTATAGGACTATGGCTTTGGCAAACTGGAATCATACTCGCAGGAGTGGAGTCTTGATCAAGTTGTTCAATAGCTGCAGCAACCATATATACTCTTAGGTCTATGAGGAGAAATATCATCAGCTCTATAAAGTTCGACAAGGCTTTTTTCCTCATTTTCTGACAGTGCAATGGTTACATCTTAACATCAACCATAACTATCCAAGAAACAGAGCTCCTCTTTAAATGACAACATCCTAAAATAAATTGAACAAATAAAAAATCAAAGTACATTGTATTGTTTAGCTCTCTCATTGAAGCTTTTCCTCTAGGGATCTGGTGCCCTCCATCTTGATCATATGAAACAAGAAATCAGCCCAAGAATCAATAGGACCAGGCAAGCACCAATGAACACAGTCATTGTACAATACCACATTCGCATTTGGCCAATGCCCATATTTACTTGGATGACCATCTGGTCTCAATAACATTGCTTGTGTTGTGTCCATCAATCTAAATCTCTTCCCCTTCGCCTTCCCTTCCTTCTCTGCAGCCTTAAATTCTTCAACTTGGATCTGGTATTGCTCCAAGCTTTGACCTTCCAACGCGGTCTCATTACTTCTGAACGGCCTTGTCCTTACACAATCCCCTCCACTATTCCAGTCCCCACCTTCAAAATGAGAAGGTGCAAAAGTCCTAAGAATCGCTACACCCTTAAAATTTTCTAAGTCATTGATGGCTTTAAGAGCAGTTCTGAATGCCCTTTGGTATGCATAGTTAAGTGGGAGTGCAGTGACATTTGGCAGTCCACAGTACCTGCAGCCAACTCGTTGGTTGTTCTCGTAGTAGACGCTAATCCGAGCAAACCAGTGGCCGGCGTTTAAGATTACATAGTCGTATCCTTCAATTTCGTTGGTCCATTTTTCATCTGCTTCATCAAGGTAAAGGTTGAAGACTCCAGTATGGCTTGGACCATCTTTATCTGCTTCTTTCGTTGACACCAAAAATGGCGACCAATATGTTGCTAATGTAAAGTTGTAAGTTTTGTATCTTAACTTTTTGAAAGCTTGATCTGGATTATCAGATATATCCTCAGGATATTCCACCTAAAAGAAAGAAAAGAAGATCAAATTTTGTATTACTTCGTTGATCATTCTCACTTAGATTTGTTTCTAGATTAGTTTAACACTAATTATGGCACATGCAGTAGCATGTGAGGTGTTTAGCAAGAATCAGGTTGTTCCGAAAATATTCCCGGGCCTGCTATAAAAGAGTTGTATCTAAATAATAATAATAATGTAATAAACTAATTAACTAATACAAGAGCCATGGTCATAGTTGTTAATAACATAGTCAAACAAATCTCTAGAAGGGCACAATTATCTTTTTCTGTCTAGACATTTCTAAGAAGCAAGTTATGATCCCGCGTTTCCCGGGCTTGGATTCTCTAATAATTTGTCAGCATACATTATTTTAAGATATACACTTTAATTGGAAAAACTCTTTGGATCTAGCTAAATAGTCGTACTATAATATTGGGAACAAAAGCGACCTTCCGAGGATTAAAATTCAATATGTCAAATTTCACGCTGTCACTCAATGTTCCTCTAAGTATCTGATTTTCTTTTCTTGTATCTTTTTTTTATTTTTTTGAGGGACAATGAATTATTAAATGGTTAATGTATTCTAATTTGATAGTGGTTTATGACTAGATTGGCATCTACTTTGCATAGTTAGATGTGATTTAACGACGTCGTAACATGCTCTATCACATTTTATACTCACGAGGTTGTGATTAGTCCAAGCCCCCCAACGCAATGAGTACAAAATCTTACATTTCCAGTCCTCCATTTTACTGTTAATAATCATTTTCCCCATTAATCCTATAGTACATTTTACTACCTTTCACAACTTCATTCTGGAAAAATAATACGCGCGTTAACCCATCAATGGCGTCTTCCACGAAAGTTCCACCTATCTCTTGAAAATTTCTAGCCTTAGATAGACAAATCCTCAATTAATCCTAAATTATGAACTCAACAATAAGCTAAGTACATCCTAGTTACTAATCCAAGCTAGAAGCAGTAATTCACCGCAGATCAGCAAGTACTATCTATGGAAATGGACGGAAAATTAAGGAAAACTTTAAGCAAAATTAAGATGAATTGCAGAGAAGAAAACGGTACCCGGCCCAAGAGACAAATCAAGGACTGCATTTGATTTCTTCCAACTGAATCACCAACAAGTGCCAAAGACTTGTTTCTAACCATATCTAAAAACTGAAACGGGTTGAATATGGGAAGCTCACAACCATTAGGCTTCCACCTATACTTCAAGTAATCAGAATCCGGTCTACCATACTTCATACAATTTTGGTGCTCATGGATCGCAAAACAAGTCATATTCGTATAATATGGACCATCCGGATTCCAAACCCATTCTCCACTGAAAATATCACATGTTTCTGGCTCTTTAATCTTTATTTTCTGCTCCTCAGCATGGTATGTAGTGGGTGAAATTTCAGATGGATATTGGGTTAATAAATCTGCTGGGTACCAATTAAATGGGTGATAAAGAGGGATAAGACCCAGAACAATAACTGCTAAAACTAGAAGTATGAATATTCTTGGGGTTCTTTGAGTTGAAGTGGAGTATTTCCCAAAGGGAAGCTCCATTTTTGGGAGGCTTTCTTCAATGGAGAGTAGAAATGGAAAGTAGAGATTGGAGAAAGGAGAAAAAGAAAGTTAGCTGTTAAAAATACGTAGTGGATGTAATTAAAGGGGGGACCAGTTGGCACATGTATGTTGACTCTCCGAACGTGCTAGTCATATATTATAACCTTAATTTTTCTTGTTTCTAATTACTAATAATTCCTCCTTAGTTAGCAGCCTTGTTTTGGATCTTAATCACTGCAGATCCATGATTTTAAAAACCAGTAAGTACAATTTAATTATAACGCACAGAAGTAGCAATCCAATCTTCATTATGAGGGGTCTTATTCTTTTAATTTATATTTTTGACAAAGTGAGCATTCACTCGTTATGTATTCACTCGTTATGTAACTATTAGTATTTGTAAATTGTGGTTCGGTAAATGTTACATAATCAACTGTGGAACTTTATCAGAATAATTCACACACTTTGGATACATATTCTGATTAGATTGACATTATTTCATTAGTCAAATGACCAAATATACTAATGGTAAAGTTTGAAACAGTAAAGAGTTATTTAGAATGATTTTTAGCTATATCTTGAAGCTTCTGCGGATATGTGAAATTAGGGAGAGAATGAGAGGAAGGGAAAAGGTGGCGCTACAAAATTCAATGGTATTGGCATTAGTGTCGGTGGGTTGGGTGGCTAATATATACCACTAGTGTTCTGAAATATTAATTTGGCATAACATGTGGTGGCTGATTTGTTGTCTCCAGTAGACAGATAATTAAGGACACGTTTTTATATTTTTTGTTTTGCCCTATCAAAAAACAAAAAAAAAAGATAGTAATCCTCGATGTTGCAATTGATAGGAGTATTAACTAAATATACATAATTTTTTACACTACTTGAATACTCAAAAATCAATTAGATCTAATTGTTTCTATTTTCTGGTAGTATCAATATGTTATATGTGGTTAGTAAACTAATGATAAAAGTTAGTAAATTGTATTGCAAATAGACAGTGTATTAATTTCCTTTGTCCTGTCAATGAGTGGAGAACATCTACTTCTACGTACTTGATTTCACGAACATTGTACTTCCGAAAGTAAATACTAGAAATTAGTGTGGCTGTCAAGTAATCTTTTTGTGTCTGCGGAATTAGTTCTTCGAAATTCATCTCCGATTAGTAAATTTAGATAAGAATATGGAGCTGTGATCGATATAATCTCCAATAATTGGCTTTGCCACAAAAGGAGTACTATGTTGTGCGAATTTGGACTATAAATGTCTTATTATCTAGCTAGTAATTTTTTGGTTCACGTTTTACCAAATGGCATCTTGCCCCATTTGTATTTCCTAACGATCCTGCATTAATTAATAGGCAAAGCTGCGTTGCATATCAGGACAGCGAATAGTATGTATGATAAACTCAAATTAATAATAGGGTTTTATTTGCTGAGGCCTACAAGATAAGTTTCTCTCTTTTTCATTTTCTTTTTTGGGATAAACTGAAATTACATTGTTAACGTACCCTAATCACCATTCACAAAAACAGGGTTTTGGACTTGCAGTTAATAAACGAGTGGAAGTACCAAAAACAATCTTCCCCACTAAGTGGACAAACAAAAAAACAAAAAGAAGAGGAAAGGGGAGGAGAGGAGAAAATCTTAGTGTTGGCCCAAGTAAAGGTTAGTTTTGAAGACTGACAAAGGAACTCAGACATAAACCAGGTTCATCCGAGTAGAGCACAGATATGGATATCTCCTGATCCTGATCGAAAAGGTTGCATATTGGATAAGGAGAAAGACTCCTTACTCAAAGAGAACACGGTTTAAGAAAGGGAAGGAGTTAGAGGTTGAGATCAACTAGAACTCTTCCACCAAGGAAGAGTAGCATCAAAATTCTAGTCAATCTCTATTTACTAACTCTATAAATATCAGTGTTGTTCTCTTTTACAGGTAACGCACATAAGCAGAAGTTAAACGTGAATTGTGAGCAAAATAGCAAGGTAATTTTGAAAGCAGTTCGTGTGTGATTCAAGCGTGCAAACCTGAAGCTACTTGAACCAGATAGAAGAACCAGTTCCAAGTGTCTGTCTTTTATTCTAGTTCAATTGTAGTAGGTGGTTTCATATTGTACCTTTCAGCTTTATCTAGAAGCAATTGTATTAGGTACTCAGAGTTTTCAAGTTAGAGTTAACTTGAAGTTGTCGCAACAGTTGAGGCTGTGTGCTACAACGGGATTAGAGGTAGTCCTAGGTTTACAAAGAGTTTTTGTAAATATTGTTTTTGGCTCAGTGATTTTAGTGGAGAATTTGGAAAAATCCTACTGGAAAGTGGGTCGTGGTTTTCTCACCTTTTGAGCCAGATGTTTTCCACGTAAAATACTTGTGTTCTTTACTTTCCGCATTTACTATTTTTGCAATAGTAGGTTAAAGAACACTTAGAAGAACCATGTCCTTCCTTAAACAGCTTAAGCGAAAAATTGGTCGTCACACAAATCACCCCCCCCCCCCTCCTTGTGTGGTATTGAAGTATAAAACATCAATTGGTATTAGAGCAGGTTATCCTTGTAGAGGCTAACACCTTAGGAACAGATCAAGATTAGTGTACCACCTGGGAACTGGGAAGGACAATCCACTGTAAGGCCTCCACTCTTTAATGGCCGGTACTACTCCTGGTGGAAAAACAGGATGAGAGATCACATCATTAGAAAGGATTATGAGCTATGGGACATTGTTACTGATGGTCCCCTGGCTACTCTGAAGAAGAATGCTGAAGGAGTAGATGTGCCAAAAACAAGAGCTGACTGCAATGTTGTGGACTTGAGGAAATGGGAAAAGAATGCTAAGGCCAAGAAATGGCTTGTGTGTAGGCTAGGTCCAAACGAGTACAGTAGAGTTCAAAGTTGTACCATTGCCAAAGAAATTTGGGACTTTTTGCAAGTGGCTCACGAAGGAACTTCTCAAGTAAAGAGATCAAGAGGAACAATTCTGTATTCTCAGTATGAGAATTTCACCATGAAGGAAGGAGAAACCATCCAAGAGATGTATACAAGGTTCACAACACTAACAAATGAACTTAAGTCTCTTTGAAGGATTATCCTTGAAGAAGACAAAGTTGAGAAAATTTTGACAAGAGTTTTGCCAGTCACTTGGGAAAGCAAAATAACTGTTATTCAGGAATCAAAGAACATTGCCACTCTCAAGTTGGACGAGCTAATTGGAAATCTCACTGCCTATGAACTTAGAAGGCAAACCATGAAGATGGATGCACCCAAGAAGGAAAGGAGCCTGGCTCTCAGAATCACTGAAGGTACAGATCTAGAAGAGGATGAAATGGCTATGATTACAAGGAATTTCAAGAAGTATCTAATGAGAGGAAAGGGTTCTTCAAGAGGTGCAACCTACAACAAACCAAGGGTTCCTGAAAAACAGACCAACGAGGGATGCTACAAATGTGACTGACCACATCATCAAAAATTGTCCTTAGTGGGAAATTGAATGGAAAAAGGAAAGGGATGAACGAAGAAACAGGAAGAAGGAACAGGTTCATCCGAAGAAGAACAAAGGATCAACAAAGGCTATGGTTGCTGCCTGGGGAGAAAGCTCAGATGAAGATTCAGAAGATGAAGATGGAGATGAGCAAGCACTTATGGCCATTGGAGAATCTGATGAGGAATCAGAGGTAAGTATGATTCATCTCAAAGACAAAATTAAGTTTCTATCTAAAGAAAGTCTATCTGATCAGTTACTTCTAGATTTTATTGATGAATCTGAGGTGATAAACAAAGAAAAGGAACAACTGTCTAAGGAATGGATAATCTTGAAAGCCAAGTGCAAAAATTTGGAACTCGGGGCTAGTGAAAGTGATAGTAAAAATGCTGAGTTGAAGAACCAGGTTCTTGAACTTGACACCACTGTGCTAGAACTTATATCTGAAAATTTAAAACTGAAATTAGGAACAGGTAAGAAGAAAGTTGATCCCTCATTTCTCACCTTAGAAGAAAATCTAGAAAAAATAAAAGATGAGTTGTACAAAAGAGATGAGCAGATAAGAGTCCTCGAAGAAGATCTAAGCAAGGTTAAGCATGAGCTGGACAGAACTTGTAAATGAATAAGTCTTCTGATGCACTTTCATGGCTACAAGAACACCACAGTAGTAATAAGAGAGGACTTGGCTACGGGACCCTGGCACCTAAGTGGAGTCCCAAAAGCAAGTACATCACACTTCCTGAGAATAAAATCTGCACACATTGTGGTAAGACTGGTCACTATAAAAGTGAATGTACTACAAAAGAAAAGGCTAGTCAAAAGAACAAAAAAATTGTTCAAGAGAAAAATAAGCTGCCAGGATGGGCTAAAAAGAACTTAATTCACCCTTTTGCCTATAGAAAAGGACCCAAACTAGTTTGGGTTCGTAAGACTAATCCCTGATTTTCTTTTGCAGGTCCAAGTGAAGGGGAGCAGCCAAATATGGTACATGGATAGTGGCTGCTCTAAGCACATGACTAGAAGCAAGAACCAATTTCTTTCACTTGAGGACCTCAAAGGAGGTAATGTCTCCTTTGAAAATGGAAAGAAAGGTGAAATCATTGGGGTTGGAAAGGTAGGTAAGACAGACTCGCACTCCATTGAGAATGTCTACCTGATAGATGGCTTGAAATATAGCCTGATCAATGTATCACAACTGTGTAACAGAGGCAACTTGGTAGCATTCACCTCTACCAAATGTTTTGTGATAAATCTTACCACTGACAAGATTGTTTTGCAGGGTAAAAGAGTAAACAATATATACATTGTAGATCTGTTCACTCTTTCAAAAAATGAACTCACTTGCTTAAGTATGTTGGACAATGATCCCCTCCTTTGGCACAACAGACTTGGACATGCAAGTCTAAGTCAACTCAACAAATTAGTCTCCAAGGACCTGGTGATAGGACTGCCTAACATCGGGTTTAAGTAAGACAAAGTTTGTAAGGCTTGAGCAAGGGGGAAGCAGGTAAGATCCTCTTTTAAATGCAAGATAGTGGTAAGCATGACCAGATCGATGGAACTAGTCCATATGGATCTCTGTGGTCCAATGAGAACATTAAGCAGAGGTGGTA